GAACAATCCAAACAAGGTCAGCGGGCCAGCAGAGATGGCTTGCCCCACTCCACTGCGTCCGCAATACAGGTCAGTTCTTTTTGGTACCTCGCTCAGCAAGAGGGGAGCCGAGTGTGACCTACTTCATCCCAACGTTTTCCACTGGGGGCAGCGCCACATCCTGGGTGTACTCCCTCCTGAGCACGATGCAGGGCGGCGACGTTACCTCCCTTTGCTGGCGGTCGCTACCTGCCTGCATTGCACCTTTGTAGTGAGCCCCCCGCCATGGGCCCAGGGCTCTTCATCTGTCCTCCAGGGCAGCGCTGACCCATTCTGCATCGACGTGGCAACGAAGAGGGTGTGAGACGTCCGAGGCCTGCGTCCAGCTGCACAGTTCTGAGCTTGGCTCACCGCAGGCGCCTTTTCCCTGGTTCACTGCATGTCAGCACCCGGCTCTGACTATTGGGGAATCCAGCTGGCTTTTATCACGGGCCGCAGGACCCCTTGGCCACCAGCTTACGGCAGAGTTGCTGGCGGCTGATGTGAAGAAGAAACCTGAACAAGTGCCAAGGGACTTGATTTAGCTGGAGGGGGCGGGGAGGTAGCTAGCGAGGTGCTGGAGGTTTCTGCAAGAGGTCTCTGCTAGCTTCCAAAACCAGCTTGGCTTTCTTTGTTCCGGGGGAGAAAACAACTAAGCGGAGAGGGGGCTGGAAGAGGGAAGTGGGACAAACGTTCATTTCCTTTTTAATCTGCAATATAAAGGTTTTAAATATGCACATTAAAATAATTGGCTTTTAAAAAAGAGTGCCCTTCCCCCGCTCCAGCAGGAACCTGCTTGGCTGGGACGTGGCCATCGCAAAGTCTTTCCCTTAGTCCCCGCAGACGTGCCGTGGGCGTGTAAGATCCTGAGAGGTGAATGACGCAAGCAAGTCGTCCTGGCCAGCTGCTGCCCTCCGCCGTGGCTGTGGAAGTCCTGCGGCGATGTCCATGGCTCGCTGGCCGCTCAGGATTTATTCCAGCCCCAGGATGTAGTTGATACCTTGGACCAGTCCAATGATCACAGGCTGCCAGGCCACCAGGTAGCGCAGCCAGTCGAGTAGCTGCCCGTACATGACGTGGGGCCTTTCCCAGCTGTAGGCGGGAAGAGTTAAAGCAGCAAAACCAGGAAGCAGACACACACCGGGGGCTAGCTCGGACGGCTGCAGGCGGGTGTCTTAGCTAGCCGAAGCCTCCTGCGTGCAGCCCCTTCTGACTAGAGGATGGTAGAAAGATCAGTGATGGCAGAAAGGTTAGAGGAAGCGGACCCAGGAGACTACATTCAGACGACAACCTGAGGTAACAGCCTGCAACGAGGGGCCTTCCAAAGCAGAGCGCGCACAGCTGGGCTTTCGCGTCCAGGCTGTGGGCAGCATAGGCAGTGCTGGGGCCTAGCATCACTCTGCTAACCCTTCTTGTGGGCAATTCCCTGGCCCTCGCCCCTCGCAATGGCATTTGGAACGATGCAATCCAGGTGTGGAGGCGTGTCCCCACCTCACCGCACTGTGCTGGGATGGAGGGAGGGTTTCTGGGCTGGGGGTCCCCCCCTCAAAAGGGGTGTGCTACACAGTGTGCTGCAATCAACTGGGTAGTGCAGAATATCCTTCAGCGCTGGTCTGATGAGGGTAGGATCAAACCTTCACCCTCTTTCAGCCCAGCACTGTAGCAGCAAAGGTGCCAGGAACGAGCAGTCAGAACCTGACCTTGCAGCAAGCAACAGGCAGGTACATCTGATCTGAGGAGCAAGATGGGGCCCTACTTACCAAGTCCCAGATATAACATTCCCCTGCCTCTAGCACTACGGCTACACGACAAGCTTTTTCTGGAAGAGGAAGTGCAAATGGAGCGCTCATTTGCATTTTCTCTTTCAATCCTTTTTGTGGAAGAGGTTTTTGCGCCTCTAGCACTACGGCTACACGACAAGCTTTTTCTGGAAGAGAAAATGCAAATGAGAATGCAACATATGCATATAAGCGCACCATTTGCTTTTCCGGACAAAGCTTGTAGTGTAGCTGTAGCCTTACCCGCCCTAATAAAAGCCAAGCCCATGCACAATGGGAGGAGAGAAGTGCTTGCATCATCCCTGTGTGCAGCCTGCAGAGGGGATGTGCTAACAGGGGGGCAGGATCTTTTAAGGGGTGTCTGACACTTGGCCCTACAAGTGAACCTGAAGTGGGAGCTCAGTGGTGCGAGGTAAACCTTCATCAGGTGATGCGGTCACCTCTAATAACCCACGTGGATGGGGAAAGGAGCCAACGGGAGACGGACGGAATCAGCCCAAGCAGAACGGCCATGTCGACACAATTTAAGAATGGTGCTGGGATGCTGCTTGATAAGAACAGGAGCTCTGGAGCCAGAAGTTAGAGCTAGATTTGGTGTATGGCTAGTAAGCCTAATTGGTGGACAAAATAGTGAGGGGAGGGGCTATTCCACTCCCACTTCTTGTCTGGGTCTGGCTTTGTGGGGAGAGAGACGGGTGGTGGACAAGGTGGGGGCTAACAGAGTGAGCTTCCATCATGGCTGCCACTTCCACCTGCTCCTGGGACACCCACTTCATCCCCCTGATCCTGAGAAAGGGCCCAGCAGACCATGGAGGCGGCCAGATGACTCCATCACTTTACTGGCTCCAGTTGAATGCCAGGCAGCAGCTGGGCAGAGAGGCCTTTCAAACAGCAGAAGCACCATGCACTTTGACACGATCTAGCAGCCGGCCCAACAAAGGGGTTTTCCCTCCCAAAACTCCCTCCAGCGCAGGAAAGGGCATGAGGGACGCTGTTAAAACAAATGTGACACATCACATTTCCACTGCTTTAACCTGCTTTCCTGCTGTATCTGCCGCTTTCAGAAAAGGTTACAAGGCTTTTTAATGGGGCGTTTGCCTGGTACCAAACAGGCCACTGTCTGGGCACACTAACCCCCCAGATCTTGTTTAAAACTGGGTCTTGTTAACACCTGCAGCCCCTTTATTCCATCAACATTAATATAAGGGAGAGAGCAGTATAGACAGCTGAGGCTTAGGACAAGGGAAAAGCAAAACTTAGGTAGAGAAACCTATCCTGGGTCCCCTTTACACAGGGCTCTAGTTTGAAGCATTATGCAAATGTCACTCACTCCAGGAAGGAGAGAAGCATCCTGTTTAGAGGTGAGGGATTAAGGACATGGAAACCTTTTGTCCAAGTTACTGGCAGGGCCTGAATTAGAGCTTGGGGCTTCCTTACTGACTGGCAGGCTCATTCCTCTTCCCCGTGCCAACTTTGTGCTCAAAGGACCTGATCTTTGCTCCTCACTCAAGTCAATGGTTTGGTCACCGATTTCAGGGAGGAGCCAGAGAAGGAGCGGAAGAGCTGGGATGAGAAGCAAGGTGTTCCTCTCCTCTCCACCCCATCTCCAGGGCAGGGCTGTTGTGTCGACTGGTTAATAAGTTTGTGGCTCCCTATGAAGGTGCAAGGCTAAGAAAAGGGAAGTTGCTGGGATTTGGTGCCATGGCCAGAAAAGGATACGGGTTACTGAACATTCGCTTGAGATCCACCTTCTCTTTGCAGTACGGACACGTCTGCTTCTTTCCAACGATGCACCAGCCGCGGATGCAGAACTCGTGGAATCTGAAGGGTGGCAAGTTAAGGGAAGCTGCTCGTGGGGGGGAAATAAGAGACACAGCAAGAGAGCAGGAACACTGGGATTAGAACTCAGCACCCCCCGGTACACAAGCCCTGCTCGAATCACAGAGGAAGCCATTCCGACCTGCATAAGCAGCCATGTATTTGTTTACTTAAAAACACATTGGCAGCCACACAAATAATTCAGCATGAATTTAGACTTGCTACTGTGCACGGACCCCATGCATGAGCCAGGTGTGCTCAGCTGGGGATTCCCCATCTGACCCTGGTTCCGCGTGGCATTTCAGCGGAACCCAGGGCCAGCTGGGAACTCCCCAGTTGACCCCAGGTTCCGCACAACATTTCCGCAGCTGACTCCAGGCGCTTCGGTGTTTTAAAGGGGCAGTGCCGCACAGCTGAACCATGGATCAGCAGTGTGACAGCTGCCCCTTTGAAACGCTGCCTTGGGGTTTCAAAGTGGCAGTCGCACAGCTGATCCCCAGCTCACCTGTGTGGTGCTGCCGTTTTGAAGTACCTCTTCTCCCCTTTGCTGCTTCTATCTGATAGAGGCAGCAAAGAGGGAGGGGGGGAGGAAGTGACTAGTTGACTAGCCCTTAACATCCTTAGTAGCCATGTCACTGACAGAACCGAGAATATCAACCTGGCCAGCTAATCCCTCAGGATCTGGCATACGAAACAGGTTTAATGGTGGGGAAGACAGTGGGAAAGACATGATTGTCTACTTGCACCGTCTGCAATTCTCCTAGTCTAGACTGCCCAAGGCTTTCCATTGTAAGACTGTTTTCAGTTGTTTATAACTGTGTCAGACCTAAACCATTCAGGCTGAAGCTAAGGCTGAGCATGGACAGAGTGGCCGATATAGAGAGGCTGGAGGGACGGGGCAGAAGGGACTGTAACCACTACAGAACGTTCCCCTCTTGAGCTTAGAATTGAGCTCTGTGTTTCCAAATCTCAGCATGCCTCTGCGGTCTAGCAACTAGCCGTGAACCCAGACTGCATGGACTGAGCACAAGGGCAGTGCACCGACTGCTCCAGGTTTACCCGCGTGCTCACGGCTCCAGGAAAGAACAGCCAACCGCTATCCCCACTGAGCTGGAGTACAGACCCGCCACTTGGTTTGGAAGGAGTTTAGTTAATGAGGAAGGGGCAGCTGGAAGAGAACACAAAATGCCGATTCTACTACAGCTCCTTGGGGCACCTCATTAGCCTCTCCAACCACGTCGGAAGCTGGCCATTTATTCCCGCTGCTCTTTGATCCTGCTTCCAGACCAACAGCTCTCTGCCTCTTACCCTGCAGGATCTCAGGGGATTTTTGTCACAGGACTTGAGAAAGTAGAAAATAATTGAGACTATCTTCTATTTTGTTGACTCCATGAACCGGTCCTAGGCTGCCTATCCAGCACCTCAGCCAACCATCTTGTCATGGCATCGGGGGGCATCACACATTGGGGAAATTCCAGCCATGACTAACACCCCCTATTTCTAGAAGTTGAAGATTAAATTAGAGTAAGGAAGTCAGAGTAAGAGAATACATTGTTATGTTGGCAACAGCCATCCAGGGATAGATTGCTGCCTGTGTCATTCACCACCCCACTGGCTTCCAAAATCTCCTTCTATAAAACACTCTCTTTCTTCGAACTTTAGGCTCAATGCCAACCACTATCATAGAATCATAGGACTGGAAGGGACCTCGAGAGGTCATCGAGTCCAGCCCCCCGCCCTCAAGGCAGGACCAAGCTCCGTCTAAGACATCTGTCAGGGATGGTGATCTAACCTGTTCTTAAATATCTCCAGAGAGGGAGATTCCACCACCTCCCTTGGCAATTTATTCCAATATTTGACCACCCTGACAGTTAGGAATTTTTTCCTAATGTCCAATCTAAACCTCCCCTGCTGCACTTTAAGCCCATTACTCCTTGTCCTGTCCTCAGAAACCAAGAGGAACAAATTTTCACCTTCCTCCTTGTGACACCCTTTTAGATATTTGAAAACCACTATCATGTCCCCCCTTAATCTTCTTTTTTCCAAACTAAACAAGCCCAGTTCATGAAGCCTGGCTTCATAGGCTTCTCTAGACCTTTAATCATTCTTGTCACTCTTCTCTGTACCCTTTCCAATTTCTCCACATCTTTCTTGAAATGTGGCACCCAGAACTGGACACAGTACTCCAGCTGAGGCCTAACTAGTGCAGAGTAGAGCAGCAGAATGACTTCACGAGTTTTGCTTACAACACACCTGTTGATACAACCTAGAATCATATTTGCTTTTTTGGCAACAGCATCACACTGTTGACTCATATTCAACTTGTGGTCCACTATGACCCCTAGATCCCTTTCCGCCATGCTCCTTCCTAGACAGTCGCTTCCCATCTTGTATGTATGGAACTGATTGTTCCTTCCTAAGTGGAGCACTCTGCATTTCTCCTTATTAAACCTCATCCTGTTTACCTCTGACCATTTCTCTAACTTGCTAAGGTCATTTTGAATTATGTCCCTATCCTCCAAAGAAGTTGCAACCCCACCCAGTTTGGTATCATCCGCAAACTTAATAAGCGTACTCTCTATCCCAATATCTACATCATTGATGAAGATATTGAACAGTACGGGTCCCAAAACAGACCCTTGAGGAACTCCACTTGTTATCCCTTTCCAGCAGGATTTAGAACCGTTAACAACAACTCTCTGACTACGGTTATCCAGCCAATTATGCACCCACCTTATCGTGGCCCTATCTAAGTTATATTTGCCTAGTTTATCAATAAGAATATCATGCGAGACCGTATCAAATGCCTTACTAAAGTCTAGGTATATGACATCCACCGCTTCTCCCTTATCCACAAGGCTCGTTATCCTATGAATCTGTTGTTCTTGAATAACCAATACTATCTATTTCCACATCACTAATTACAGCTTCTCCAAGCCAGTCAAGTACTGCTTGTTCGCTTGTTGTTTCCTCTTTTCACTTTCACATTATATAAGGCAACACACATCCACCATGACTCAAATGTCCTGCTTGGTTTCAGCCCCTGTACAACTAGGGAGGTGAATGGTTAAACCGGTGGGGGTGGAGCAGCTCCCCGCTGCAGGTAAGAGGCTGCTCCAGCATCAAGACTCCAGCCCGGCCGGAGCAGCCCCAGCTCGGGCGCACCAAAGGCAGGAGTACTCCAGCTCAGCCAGAGCAGATCCCCCCCTCCCCACATTAATCAGTTAACTGGTTAAACATTATATAGAATCATAGAACACTAGAATTGGAAGGGACCTCGACAGGTCATCAAGTCCAGTCCCCTGCCCTCATGGCAGAACCTAACACCATCTAGACCATCCCTGACAGGTGTCTGTCCAACCTGCTCTTAAATATCTCCAGTGATGGAGATTCCACAACCTCCTAGGCAATTTATTCCAGTGTTTAACAAATACATTGTTAAATGCCCCCACTTTACAAACATACAAATAGTTTTCACAGCCGGCTTGTTAACACCCTTATTCCTAGGCTGCTGTTCGCAGTAGGTGCTGCATTCAGAGCTGGGCAGCTGGAGAGCAGTAGCTGATGGCTGGGAACCCAGCTTTGAAGGCAGCGCTACGGGCAGCAGCAGCACAGAACTGCAGAAGCAAGGGTGGCAAAGCCCTCCTATTCCACCCTCACTTCTGCATAATGTCTGACCTTGGGGGGGGGGGGGGGCTAAGGCAAATTTTGGGTGGCTATAGCCCCTGCGAGCCCCTATGAGTGTTGCTCCTGCCCAGGAGTCTGACCATTACATTATACATTACTTTTTTTGCTGATCTCAGTGCTCAGACTGGTTTGTGATTCAGTGCAGCTCTTCAACTGCTGAACAATCAACGCTGCGTCAGTCCCACCTTTTTAGTCTCAAGACAAGAAACCTGTGTGCACGTTACTGCAGCCTTCAGAGTCCAATTTCCCTGAAGTAGCGAAGATATCAATATATAGTTTAGGAACAGCAATTGCTGCAGTATACACAGTACTTTAAAGTACAGGTTGAACTTCTCTAGTCTGGCACTTTCTGGTGTGGCATGATTTTAGTGAGCTGAATGTCCACTTATCACGGATGTCGCCAAGTTTCCAGTAGTCCCATAAAGTCTGTTTACTAGATCATGGCAGCTAAAGAGCAGGTCATGGAATTAGTTCATGCTGCACATGGCAGTCTCCTGGCTTTTAACAGACACGTGATCTGTGAGGATTATCGGTCTGTAGACAATGCTTTGTCTGAATACCCTCAATCCCTCCCAAACTGCTCCGCTCATGAAGTGTCACATACTAGGACCAGTGTTCACACTCGGCCCGAATCCTTATTCCAAACAAAGGTGGCTCTAGCCTTAAAGACAAGTGCAGCCCATCGCTATACGCTTGTTTGCAACATGGCCTCTATTTAAGGCCAAGTTTAGACAGCTGAGCTCCAGTAATGTAAGCAGGGTGTCAGCTTTTTAACTGTGCTATCAGCAGAAAACCCACAAGACCTTTAGCAGAGAACACTGCACAAATCATTGCATGCATGGGACCAGGAAGCTCCAGCGTTACTGGAACACTGCGTGGTTACACTGTTTGCAAAGCGAGTTGCGTTCTGAAAACCACAGTATTTTCAATCTGAGTTGTGTGTTTTGGAGATTTCCTCAAACAATACCTGCACCTGATGCACATAAAGCAAAACAGAACTAGGATAGAAGCAAGCAAGAGGAGCATGACAAGAAAAAACATCACATAGGAAGAAGTAATCGTTCCTCTAAAACCCTGCTTTGAGGGACAGCCTCTATTGGCCAAATGGCTATCCGCAAAGCTTTGGTCTTTGGACACAGTGCATCAACAAGGGTCAATTCATGCTCCTTTTGGTGGTGTGCATGCATCTCCACTAGGTACTGGACAAGACCAAATTGGTTTCCCATAAATGACCATACAATCAGATGTAAATTACTGAGTTACTGCCAGCTCGGACTGGGTTTAGAACTGGTGACCCAGAGATACCTTCCCTTGGCAAATCCCCTAATGACCCAGTGGTCCGATTCTAGGCAAACTTACACTGTGCCTGCTCCCAAAGCAGAGCGTGAGGGATGCAATTCTTGGAAAATAAGTAGGCACGTCATCAATAGCACAACCCCTTACTGAAATGCAGCCAGGGCTGTGCACCTGGCTCATGTGTGGTCTTTTTCTAGAGACAATAAGGGAAGAATTTGGCATCCAGCTGAAGATGGAAGTTGGGGAATGTAGTATGAAGTTACCCAAACAGCAATTCTGACCAGATTCCAAATAATGACCCACAGTGGGTGGCATGCTGCCTGGGGAGCTAGCTCTCTGGCGGCTTCACGGAGAGCAAAGGATACACATGATTGCAGGAGAGCCTGTACGTGTTCTCTATTATCCCTTCTTCATTGACATCTACAAAGATCTGTTGGCCACACACGGCGCAGACACTGTCAGAAAGGTGCTTCGTGGGCAGTCCTGATGCACTGTAGAACTGAACAAGATGGGGAGGGGAAAATGGGGAGAACACAAGCCAAGAACTAGTCAGAATTAGTCATAGAATCCTAGAATACTAGAACTGGAAAGGACCTCGAGAGGTCATCGAGTCCAGTCCCCTGAACTCACGACAGGATCAAGCACCATCTAGATCAGTTTTTTTCCCCATGGCCCCCTTCTGAACCTTGTTTACCTCTGTGGCCCCCCTCATAGCCACTGTTAGTTGGAAAAAAAGATACACAATTTACCTAATGTTCTCTTTTTCCATGTGGCCCCCTAGAGGTAGGGCATGGCCCCTGGGAAGCCATATGGCCCATGGTTGAGAACCACTGATCTAGATCATCCCTGACAGATGTCTATCCAACCTGCTCTTAAATATCTCCAGAGATGGAGATTTCACAACCTTCCTAGGTAACTTATTTCAGTGTTTCACCACTCTGACAGGTAGGAAGATTTTCCTAATGTCCAACCTCAACTTTCTTTGGTGCAATTTAAGCCCTTTGCTTCTTGTCCTATATTCAGAGGTTAAGGACAATAATTCTTCTCCCTCTTCCTTGTAACAACCTTTTAGATACTTGAAAGCTGCTATCATGTCCCCTCTCTGTCTTCCCCTTTTCTAAACTAAACAAGTGCAATTCTTTCAGTCTTCTCTCATAGGCCATGTTTTCTAGACCATTAATTATTTTTGTTGCCTTTTTCTGGACTTTCTTCACATCTTTCCTGAACTGTGGCACACAGAACTGGACACAATACTCCAATTGAGGCCTTATCAGTACAGAATAGAGTAGAAGAATGACTTCTCGTGTCTTGCTCACAACACTCCTGTTAATGCAGCTCAGAATGATATTGGCTTTTTTTTGAAACAGTGTCACACTGTTGAGTCATATTTAGCTTGTAGTCCACTATGACTCCTGATCTCTTTCTGCAGTACTCCTTCCTAGACAGTCGCTTCCCATTCTGTACGTGTGAAATTGATTGTTCCTTCTTTAGTGGAGTACTTTGCATTTGTCCTTATTAAACTTCACCCTATTTACTTCTGACCATTTTTTTTGCTTGTCTAGATCATTTTGAATTACGATCCTTTCCTCCAAAACATTCGCAATCCCTCCCAACTTGGTGTCATCTGCTAGCTACAGGTTGAACGTCATTAGTGTGGCACTCTCTGGTCCAGTAACATCTGTGGTCCGGCATGATTTTAATTATCTGGATGTCCACTTATCATGGGCATGGCCAAATTTCCCACAGTCCCATACAATTTGTTTTCAGCCACCAGTCCTGGCACTCAGTGTCCTGTGCTATTATTTAGCTATAATTTACCCCTAAATGTCCTCTAAGAGCCCAGTAAGCAGTGGAAGTGCTGGTAATGCTGCCGAACAATACTGACTTCAAAGGGTCTGGCAAAGTTTCTCGTTCGGCACCAGTCAGGTCTCCAGGATGCCGGACTAGAGAGGTTCAACCTGTATCATCATCTTTATAAGAATGTGCATCCACTAAGAAAAAGCTTCACTCCTCACAGTTGAACTAAAGGACTCTGGTGCATGATTACAGTGTAACTGGCAGAGAGTGTGGCCCAGTGGTCACAGCAAGGACCTGGATCAGGATCTTGTGGCTTCTAGTCTCAGCTCTGCCGCTGACCCACAACGCCAGCCCCTCGTTCCTCCTCTGGAAAGTCTGACCTCGCCCACAGCTGTGAGGCTTAAGTCGAAAAAGCCCCACATATCAGTATAAAGCTTTAGTATTTCTATGTAATGCCTTTGAAAACGGGAAAACGGAGACCGACTATAGCCTGTAACCATCAGGGACCCCCACTGCTCGAGAAAAGCATGTACTATTTAGTAATGGAAGAAGCTGTCTGCTTTGTCTTGGGCAGGCTCTGTCTGTCTGTGTGACAGAGAGACTGACTGTGTGTGTGTGGGGGGGGAGAGAGAGTGTGAGTGTGAGTGAGTGAGTGTTCGTTCTTTTTCCCTGTGTGTGTGTGTTCATTCTTTTTGCTGCTGGGAAAGTTTCTGAGAGAAGCCCTGCACTCTCTCTAAGACAGGGAATGCTGTCCTGTTCTTTATTTGCCCCCACCCCTGCTCTGCAGAGATGGGGTATATGTGGCTGCAGTGCACTAGGGCAGTGGTTTTCAAACTTTTTTTCTCATGACCCATGTGATGGAGAGGAGGGGTGCTGACCAGCACCTGGCGACTAAAGGATTAAACTTAGGCAGCTAGCTGGGGGTGTTGGCAGAAAGCCAGGAGAACCAATGGGATACAGTGCTGAAATTTAAAGTGTAAATACATACCTACTGCTGTTTGCTCCGTGTGTGAGTTTAAGCCAGGAGTTGGGAGACAGAATGATTGAAACCCAGGCAGGACTACCCTGCCTCCAAGGAATTCGGGGCATGGAAGTGGACTGAACCATAAAGGAATCGTGAGTAAATAATGGGAAAAAATGTGTATTTAGTCGCCATCAGGGTATTTTTCTTTGTTTTGCTTGTTTGGCTAAACTTCTCCATTTGTCTTCCCTCCTCCATTCACTGGCTGTGTCTACACTGGGCCACTTATTCCGGAAAAGCAGCCACTTTTCCGGAATAAGCTGCGAGCTGTCTACACTGGCCCCTTGAATTTCCGGAAAAGCAATGACGATCTACTGTACAATTGTCAGTGTTCTTCCGGAAAAACTGTGCTTCTCCCACTCGGGTAAAAGTCCTTTTTCCGGAAAACTGTTCCGGAAAAGGGCCAGTGTAGACAGCCCAGTAGTGTTTTCCGGAAAAAAGCCCCGATCGTGAAAATGACAATCGGGGCTTTTTTCCGGAAAAGCGCGTCTACATTGGCCACAGACGCTTTTCCAGAAAAAGGGCTTTTCCGGAAAAGCATCCTGCCAATGTAGACGCTTTTTTTCCGGAAATACTTATAACGGAAAACTGTTCCGTTTTAAGCATTTCCGGAAAAAGGTGCCAGTGTAGACGTAGCCATCATGTTTAAACTACAGCCCAAAGAGCTATGATTCTTTGTGTTTTGATCTGTTCTCTTCTTAGTTGCTCTGTAATACCTAGCAACCAAGCATGCTTTATGAAGGATATCTTTGTTTTTTGTTAATAAAATCATCTTTTTTAGGGCAATGATTTGATTCTTGTGTCCTGGAAGGTAACAGGAGGTCTCTGTACGTGTGTCTGCCTAGCCAGAGAAGTCAGCTATGAGAGATAGTTTGTTTTCTGTGATTTTTTTGTTTCTTTTTTCAAGCTCTCTTGGGGCAAAAGAGCTTGGTGTACCTCCGTGAAGGAACTCAAGTGTTCCCACCTGTTTTTTCAGGGTTTAAATCACTTGATGGTAACAGCCTGTCTTCTAGAGACTGTGCATCTGTAACTCTGGGGAGGGATCTTTTTTGGGGGGGTAAGCAGAGGCTATAGAGGCAAGGTATTTAAAATCTCTTGCAGCTCCTACCATCTGCACTCAGAGTGCCAGAGTGGGGAACAGCCCTGACAACCCAGTTGAAAATTGCTGATACCTGCAACTCAGCATAATTATATCTGTTGACTAGAGTATGAACTCTGGGGCAAAGCCGGGGATGAGGGGTTTGTGGTGTAGAAGAGGGGCTGCAGGATAGGGTGGCTTAGGGCTGGGGCTCACCTCCGGCAGCTCCCAGCAAGCAGTGCAGCTGGGGTACTAAGGCAAGATTCCTGCCTGTCCTGGCACTCTGGAAGCATCCAGGAGCAAGTCTGGCTCCCAGGTGGATGTGCGCAACTGGCCAGAGGGAGTACTGAGTTGGTGCTCGGGGTGGGGGCAGTGCACGGAGATCTTAAGTGACTAGTGATTTTGGGAGCCCGACTCCAAACAGCTTAAAGGGACACGATTCTCTGAAGATGCCAAGCACGGGTCCCCTGAACAATCAGATCCCACTGAGGTGTCATGCTAGACACCCAAAGACTTAGCCACCAGTCAGTTCCTTTTGAAATTCTTGGCTGTTTACATCTCAGCTGTGTGTTTACACAGCACGACGGCCACACCGAGAATCTGATGTAAAGTGCAGGAGCTAAAAAAGAATAAGGTGCTCTTTGAAGGTGAATTTAACTCTGAATCCAGCAACCCCTGGAGTGCAGCCACCTCTAGGATGGCCCAGGGCAGCCATTTAAAGAAGGGAGGAAAATCCAATTGAAACTGCAGGCGGGGTTAGTGAGCAGCTGTGACCTCTCCCCCCCGTAGAGGAAACAGAACAAGACACCCCTAGCTCTGTGCAGAGAGCCTTGGGAGCGCTAATGGCCCCACACGAGCCGGATCATTCTCTGAGCAAGACCCAAGATCCCTCTTCAGCAGCCCAGCTCCCCCAGCACTAGGCTGGGAAGAGGCAGCCTGCTCATTCAGCCACACCACTGGACACCCCTTTTAGCTATAGCTGGGTGTTGACAGGAGGTCAGTCAATGTGGCATTTGAGTGAGTGGCTGACTGCCTTGGGAGCCTCCCTTCCAAACATTAATCAGGCCTGCTCCTATTCAGCTGAAGAAATCACAGCTGGAGCGGTATGTCGGCAGAAAGAAAACTGAACCAGCAGGCTGCATTTTAGCCCCAATCTCACTTCATTCATCACGGTCGCTGCGTCTCACTGGACAGCCTCTCTCAGCCCCGAGGAGGTGGGAGACCAGCATGAGAAATACTATTTTAGGGCCTTCTGCTTCTGAGAGGAAGGATTCACACCAAAATTACAAAACAAGTCACTGACTGGAGCTTGAAGCAGCAGAAATACGTTTGATGATACAAGTAGTACCAGTCTGGATCAAACCAGTGGGCCAGCTAATCTACAAGCTGTTAGTGGCCAGTACAAATTGCTTCAAGGAAAGTGAAACAGTGGACAGTTATGCAACAGTCTTCCTATGAGGAAGTTTCTTCTTTAGCCTTATGAGAGAGGATCTGGCTTACATCTTGAAACCAAGTTTGTAAACTTTCTAATCATCCCTCAACCGTAACCTTTAGTCAGATGAGCAGAGGAGCAGAATGCAAGAAAGGATTAGTCATATCTAAA